GTCTAGAGTAATTTTTGCTTATTAGTACGGTTGAACTGGATCATCGAAGGTCAGAAGCAAAGACATTGTTTAATAGAATGGGAATAAATACATAAAGCATATTTGTGTTTAACATTTAATTATTTTTTGCGTCATATTCTGAGTTGCATTATTTTTATTCATTTTGAGGAATACTGAATCTGTGGTTTTTTTTGTGAGTGAGATGAATTAATGCACATTCATATTTATTTTAGAACTACAGTAACATCTTCTGATTTCTCTCAACATGGGGACAGGAGAGCTGTCAATCAATAAAATGAAAAAAAAAGTAACTTGCGTTACTTATTTGAAAAAGTAACTCAGATATTTTCTTGTAAATTAAAAAGTAATGCGTCACTTTACTAGTTACTTGAAAAAAGTAATCTGATTACGTAACTTGCATTACTTGTAATATATTACCCCCAACACTGCTCATAACTCCTCTCATTATCAATAAAGCTGTCCATATACGGTATGATAAATGAATCTCTAACTTACATCATACCTACATCAGCACTTTGTTGCTTATGATGAGGGAATTCGCGAGTTTCTGTCTGAACAAAACTGGGGTTTCAGCGATGACTAGTTTGAACGCCTCTGATTGGCTACTGCATTCCTAAGCTCAACAGAATCGTGTGTGACTGGTTATAATGAGCAATGCTGTAAAAACGTGTAAGAATAAAAAAATTATGTAATATTACCAGGTCTAAATTTAATACAGCAATCGAAATTTCGTATTAAAGTTTTATTGAAAAACCAGGGGACCCCCCCCCCAAGTATATTTTCTGGGTGTTATGGGGGGTCCCTTAATGCTTATGGCAGATCCGGGACCTCAGCCAGACATCACATCATGATTCAGATAAGAAACAACATGGGGTATGTGTGCAAATGAATACAGTTCATACAATCATTCACACTATTGAATTAAAGTCTTCATCACAGCATTGACTCATTAATAAATTAAGCATAGATTAATTAATTATTCATCAGTATTCATCCCACAATGTTCTCATACTGTTACATTGTTAAAAACTAGCAATGTTGTAAAATTTCTTACACTGTGTTTGTTTTCATCTAAATTAGAATTACATGAGCAACCCAGACATTGGTAAGTTTTCCTAAATCATTTACATTTCATCAGTTTTACTTGTGTTTTGTTTTTGTAAGTAAAAGTAATGTTGTTTGAGTGCATCTTTCTCTCTTTTCCTCACAGATGATTTTCAGCTTGTTATTCCTCAAACAGCTCAAGAAGCACAGATTTCTATGGGGTCTAAAATCATTGTTCCTTGTCACTTGTCTCCTGAAATCTGTGCCATTGCCATGCAGATCAAATGGTTTAAGGAGACAGACTGTGTTTGCATCTACAAGAACGGACATGTGATTGAGGGGAGAAACTACAAAGACAGAGCGAGTCTCGACACTCATGTACTGCAGAGAGGAAATGTGTCCTTACATCTAAATAATTTCAGTGTCTCAGATGTTGGTGATTAATATTGTCAGGTCATCAGTGGAGACAGAACACAGCAGATTACAGTAGGAGGTGAGTATTCTGCAGGTCCATACTACATCAGCCCAGAGTACTAATTAACAATCTTTTGTCAGAATAAAGTAAACTGAAACCACTTGTTGGGATAGGATGCATTTTTAAGCTATAGTGTTTTATATAATGCCACTTATAGAAGCCCAATCCTAAATTAATTAGTGTAGTTGTGTAGTTATTAGTTGGGTATCTAAAATCACAGATTTCACACAAATCTATTAACACATTGTCTTCTTAGTGAGGATAAAACCTGAAGTCCAACATGTGAGTCAGTCACCAACATTTTAAGGTCAAAGTATTCAGCTAAAGCTGTTTGAGGTAAGAAAGCCTACAGGTTAATTCATTTCAAATGACTGCACTGTGTTTTGAATGGAATTTATTTATGCTGGTATAATTATTACTAGATAGGTCAGGGATTTGAGTCAAAAGTTTCTCACTGGCATATTCTAAAAACAATAGAATTAACAATAGAATACATTCATTTATTTAAAAAAATTATTAAATTAATTGCCATGTTTTCATATCCAGTTTGTATGACCCCAATCTGTTTTTCTTCACAGATAGACAAAATATGGACTAAACAGGAGAAAGACAAAATGAATAAATCTGCTCTAATGGCTGGTGTTATTGGACATTTTTGCAAGTTCACGAAAGGCTATATCCAAGAAACATATGATCTATCTAATACAGGAACACATATTAATAAATGATTTTAAACATAATGTGCAATATTTTTTTTTTCAGAAGAGCTTCAGGATATGTTAATTAAGGCTGGCAAAGAAAAAGACAGACAGCTGGAAAGAGCTGAACAGGAGTTGAGAGACGTGAAAGATGTTGGACAGACTCTTAAGACTCAACCCTCATGCTCAGTTTTTGGACAGAGACAAATCGAATCCCGTTTAATAGCTAAGAAATGTGCCTAACTTTGAAATTTCAGGTTGATGCTTAATGCCTTTTCTTAAATTCATGAGTTATAACAATCGCTATTTCAGATGATTTTTTTCTCAAATTAAGTATACATTAATCAAGGCATGTTATTCTGAAGAAAATTACAATTACAATGAATTTACACTTTACCTAATGTTTGTTTTGTAACCTTCCACAAATTAATAAACTGGAAAATTTAAATGATTAAAACAAGGGCACACAGAATTATTTAAATTTGCATGTAAATAAATTAGTTTAATTATTTTTGTAAAGTTTAAATGAAAATGAATCACAATTTGGGGGACCTGAAAATCATGAGACATTCAAAAGTAATTTTCGTATTTCAGAGCAATTTTTAATTGGGGGCGCTCTGCAACATGTCAAAACTGAAATCCTGTTCACTTCATCACTACAACGGAACTGCAGCGCCCCCGCGTGGACACAGTGGTTTAGTGCAGCATCTCACATGTGAAGGTGGAACGTGCGCTGATAACGCTTTAAAAGCTCAAATGTTCAAATGCTAAAATGTTGTCAAACTGCAACTTTCGGCAACATCATATCATTACCCATTTCAAGAGTTGAAATGAACTTGTGTTTCATGAGGTGATTTGTTGAAACAATTTTAAAATGTGAAAATAAAACGGGTTGCTATTAAAGTTGCTGGGAGTAGGAGTGTTTTCTTGCGTCAGTAATAAATAACAAATATACTGTGGTTATAAATATCTTAATACAGTCAAACTATGTCATCTATGTAGAGAAATCCGTGTAAAATATCAGGAGTTATTATAATAGAACTGCTTTTTAATAAAAGCTCTCTCAAACTGATAACTGTGTAATGTAATTTTGCTGATATTTAAAGTGTTGTTTATATAAGTATTTTAACGTACCAGTAGCAGAAAGGGTAAATTGTATAAACATTCACACTATATTTCTTAGAAACACGTACAGTATGCAAATATGAATGTATCAAACACATATCTGCAGCTGATCCTAGATCAGCTACATTCACTGAAAGCTTCTCTTGACTTCCTTTACAGCTAGGTCACCTCTTGTGGTGTCTGTGTATATGTTTGCGTGTAACTGCGAGAGACAGTGAGACAGTATGGAGGAACTGGCAGAGTATCATGGGTCCATCAGCAAGAGGCAAGCAGAAGAGATCTTGAATGAAGCTGGCAGAGATGGCAGCTATCTGATCAGAGACAGCATGAGCTCAGCAGGATCTTACTGCGTGTGTGTGCGGTGAGTAACTACTGTATCAGTGTCTTCTGTCTTCATTATGTGCAGTAATCTGTAACTTAGAGCTGTGGTTCTCATCTGGTGGGCTGTGACCAAAAATGTGTTACTGGTCTCGTCTGATATTAGATTTGGGACAGCTGGGGAAAACAATGCAAAGTACAAATAATAAAATGCAGTTAACTGTATAAATGCTCATATTTAGACAACAACAAAAAAACTTATTCAAATTGTAAAACAAAGGATAAAATGATTTCCAATTTCCATATCTTTTGTTGATGTTAAAGTCTGTGTGTCCGGTCAAATTCTGGTATTTGGGTGCCAACTGCATGGACAGATCGCGTCCATGCTCGAAAAATATTGCTGAATTGAGGACAGCATACTGGCATGGGCTACTACTTACTATTTCTGCCATATAAAGATATGATAAAAATATGAAGTCTATGTATCTCAGATTAATTAATTGGCACATCACTTCCTCATTAATGATAATTTAAAGTCATTATTGTGTTAAAAAAGAAAAACATTGAATAGACATTTAAAAAAAAGTAGCTTTAGAAAGAGATATTTTGATTCAACAAACAAAAAAATATTGAAATATTAAAAAGTGCCAGTAGGTGGCAGCAAATTGCTGTCTTGAGTGAGTCATTCAGTCATTCAACCGATTCATTCATTCAAACGGCTGATTCATTCAGAAATGAATTTACCTTATCTTCATTTTTAAGTAAAATAATCTATGTAATCCATTTTCTTTCTACCAGCCGATTATGAAAGAAAAGATGAAGTGTTTGTTATAGTAACATGCAACTTTCGCGTGCATATGACAGATAAACCGCCTGTTAATGTTGTGGTTATTTTAGCTAATAGTTTGCTTTGTACATTTAGTTCAACAGCATTAAGTTAAAGAGGGTAAACTTTATCACTCGACTGCACATGCATTTTCTAGCTCTGTCCAAGCAATAAATGCACGTACTTAAACGAGCGCTATAGAAAATTTACTTAAATTACAATTTAAAATCAGTCAGAGCTACAGAAATGCATCTTAATATTTATAAATAAAGCTCCATATTATGCGTAGGCCTACATTGTAAGTTGACGAGTTGATTTTTCTGCGTTTTAATACGACTCTTGTCATAGAGCTATGAATGCCGAGGATTTTTAGGTTGGGTAAAATCTGCAAACTCTCACTCAGTTCGTTTCCTGGCTTCTGTCAACTGGCAACCCGGGGTGTCGAAATACTATTGGGATAACTGGCAGTGGGCGAAATCACACAGACCAAAACAAAAACAGACATTCCAACACGGAATGCACATTTTAAAGTAGAATAACCGGCTTTTTCTGGAGAAACAAGTATGTGAACTTAGCATGTTTCCTAAATATGGTATTTTTAAGCTTAGTGCAGTCAAAAAATTACATACAGCACCTTTAAACAGGCTGGGGCTCACATTCAGCTGCAAAATGGGGTAACTGCAAGTTTAAATACTGTGCTGCAAATATATAATGACTATAATGACTGTGTAAATCTTCAGGTGTGATGGATGGGTTTACACCTACAGAGTTTTCAAACAAAAGGATGGACTCTGGACAATAGAGGTATGGATGGATTTATGGACCTTGTAGCTTTGTACTTTTCCTCAAGTGAAACCTGAAATTACATGTCTTTTGATAAAAACATACTTCTGTCTTAAAGGGATAGTTCACCCAAAATGAAAATTACCCCATGATTTACTCATCCTCCAGTCATTCTATGTGTATATGACTTTATTCTTTCAGAAGAAATACAGGCGGAGTTATATATTTAAAAAAATACCGGACCTTACGCTACGCCATAGTCTTTGGCTATGCCTACGCAACGTGATCTCATGATAATTCGTATGTATTTTACGTAAAATGTGGTTCTATAAAACGTACATTTACTTACATTTTTACAGGCACTAAAACGTACAATACTGACGTATTTTCAGCCTCTAAATGTACAAATACTGTCGTATTTTCAGCATTTTAACGTACAAAACTGACGTATTGACGACACCTAAAAATTAATCCTTATGAATATTGAAATTGCGGCATTAATTTGATTAGTTTTTAGTTGTCATATGAATTACCTTGTTTTCAATTGCATTATTAAATTGTTCACTCGTTTACTTATGAAATTATAACATTTCGTTTTGTTGTGATTTCTGCTGCCAGCTCGTTTCCAAGAATATGCCTACACAATGTTAAATACGACTTCACTTTAAACCTTAAAATAAATAAAATTTCTGCAATCGTTTAACCTTTACTTGTCATATAATGTTTACTTTGATTGCCATGGGCCACAAAAGGCGTTTTCTCTGACATGCTGTGACTGACAATAGAACTATAAAATACACCAAAAACGCAACATAATTGCGAAATTAAACAATTTTATTAGTGCGCTGTAATCCAAATCTTCCGAATCCATACGACTGCGAGGAACAGACCCAAATCCAAGCCTTTATTCGGCGATCTTCATCTCCATCCCGAGCAGCGAGTCCAGTCTCCGGTGACCGTGAGCAGCAAAGCCGCGCTGACTGACGCGCTCGTTACAAATTCAAATGTTGCCGCTTCAAACGACAGGTTTTACGGCAGGATAATCGAACGCTCATTGGCTCTCGCCTGCATTCGTCACAGATTGCGACATGCCGTGTTTCTGGTGAGGTGTGTTTGAATGATGCGCGCGTTCCTTCACGAGTTCACGGAGTGGATCGGGAAAATTATCTGGATAATATTTTCGGCGATTAACAACATAAATTTTGCTCTGGATCACACAAACCTACTGTATTCCGCCAGAGAGGACTGCGGGTGCAACGCATCGTCATTTGGATTACTTTTAGTACTGCTTTTGACATTTTTGCAATAAATAAATGATTGTAATTGCATTTATCTGTCTGTCATGTTTTTCTTATACTGTACAGAAATGTTTAGGTTTATAGGTAGGAGTGGAATTAGCGACTATAAATATATTTTAATGCTATATTGTTACTAAAATTTTTATTTTCCAGCGTATTTCAGTCATTTGCGTTTTATATCCTTTATATATCGCTATATAGGTCAAGGGGTCTAAAAATCTAAATTGCGTATTAATAAAATGATAAAAATGCATATTCGCTATAAAATGGGTAGGTTTAGGTTTGGGGGCAGGTTAAGGGGTCTAAAAATCAAAATCGCTTATTGATAAAATGATAAAAAATGCATTGATACGAATATCTAAATGATATAAAAGATACGTAAATATTTTAACGTTTTTTAGCTAAAAATACGTAGCGATTTGTACGTTTTAAATGTTGAAATACGTCTAAATTGTACGTTTTAGCATCATTAAAAAAGTGACTACTTGTAGTAGTACAGTTTAATGCCACTGTTATTTTTCAAACAACAAGTGCAACGCTACGCTATATACAGAAGTACACAGCAGATTTTTTTTCTCTTTGTGGCCAGTGTGTTGCATGTATTTATAGCATCACCCAACACACAAATTAACAGCCAGAGAATCGCCATGTACATCTGTTATGTTTTGGTATCACCCACACTTCCCGTTTCATACGCATCAAGATCTGCAACTTGTAAACACACCCGAGATGCTGAGAAACATTTGCATTTTGGATCAAAACCCGAAACAGTTTAAACTGAAATCATCCAAATGGGAAGATAATGATCTTTTAACAAATTAATGACCAAGATCCTTGTAACATTAGAATGGCCTCTTTAAACCCTGTTTTAAACAGGCTTTGCCATTGTTCATATCAGTGTAGATAAGCTCAAATTTTCTTCATTTTATCTGACTTCATTTAGCTTCCTGTAACTGATCAGCATCAACCACCAGCCACACGAGCAAAATACCACACAACTCTTTTGATTATATATATATAAAAAGAAAAAAAAAGTTACTCTGACTCAACGGAAATGTACCTCCATGCACAAGTCACGTGATAGCACCACAAGTTTGTACATTTAATGCCATTACCATCACTAGTAAAATGTACAATTAAAAGAAGGCATATCTTTGTGCTTTTGAAGTTCTTTTTAAGAGCTCAGGAAGTTTTTAAGAAAATCTTATTTTTTTTTCTCTCTCACCAGGTGGCTCCTGGGATGAAGGAAAGACTCTTTAGGAAAGTCAGTAATCTCATTGCTGCCTTCAAGATCCCAGACCAAGGCATCTCTGTTCCTCTTTTGTATCCTGTAAATAAACCTAAATAATAACACACAAGTCAAAGCAAACACCTTAGAACAGTTTTGACATGATGTAGTGTAAATGTGAACAAGAGTATTTTCTCTGGGGTCTCTTAACCCAAATGTAAATTGTAGAAATGCTGTAAAAAATCCTGTAAATTGTAAAAATGTTGAAAAGTCTATTTAGGTGTATTAGATTCTTACTCTGAAGAAATATTCCTTTATAATCAAATTAATTTCAAATACAGAAGTAGCTGGAGATAATCCACAAAATACAGAAACAATAAATGCTTTGTTAGAATAGATTAAATAATTGGCCATCCCATTACATTATACATCCCTCTACTGTATATTGTCAGTCTGTCAACAAAAACTGAGTGTTTTCTTCGGAAATAACCATCCCATGTTTGCTATGCATTCCTATATATACATGCTATACAGTAATCGTCACCTCAGATATTATCAGCAATACAGATAGCCAGTTAAAGATCACTACAGAGACTACACCATGAGAGAAATAGGCCTTGAATTATAAGCTTAGATCTCTGCCACAATTCTGGGCGTGAAAGATCATATTTTGAGTGCACAAAAGTGCATTTTGCACGCGCGCGATCTGAGTTTTGTGGAGAAAATGTTTTTGAAGAAAAAGTATTTTGAGCGCACGAAAATCAATTTTGCATTTAAAATAAGTTTTTGGATATTTGCAGACCTTCTCTTTTGCGCGTACAATGTTTCACTAGCTTGCTCACCTGATGCCCGCCCTCAGTGCTCTCTAAATGCCAACGGCTCGCTTGCTCAACACAACCCAGCATTACAATATGCCATAATTCCAGCCAATCAGGGAGGAGGCTGCTAAATTCTGATTGGCTGCCTTGACAACCAATCACAACATTCCTTGCATTACCTCGACAGCAGAAGATGAAAAATACAGTGCATGCATAATTATTATGCAAGTTGATATTCTGATCATTTTTTTCCAAGCACATTTGACCAATTCCAAACAACATCACTCTTAATAACTACTATTAAACTTGTATTTAATCACTTATAATCTACATGTTATTGTTCGGTTGCAGTTCTGGAAAATGGTGGCGCTGGAGACTAAATGGTTCCTGGTGATCTCACACCTAATTCTTCACCTTAATTCCTAATTCTTTTGCAGTTATCATGCATCTTTTCTTCTCCACATGTTTTTGACTGACCCTGCTGACCCACTGAGCATTTTGCTGTCCAGTGGTTATGCATTAACTTTGCAATTTCTAGTATTGTATTAGTTTTTAATATTTCTCATGGGCATTTAATAATTTTTTACTTTCAGTCCGAGTTAAATCTCTTTTTTGGCTCATTTTATCTGTAAAAGGAAATCTGCTTCATAATTATGCACACCTTAATATAAGACATTTTTCACTTCCAGCCTTAATGAATAATTATATATAAATTATAAATGATTAAATACAAGATTAATAGTAGTTAAGATATCATCATCAGAATATCAACTTGCATAATAATTATGCATGCACTGTATTTTTCCTCTTCTGCTGTCGAGGTAATGCAAGGAATGTTGTGATTGGTTGTCAAGGCAGCCAATCAGAATTTAGCAGCCTCCTCTCTGATTGGCTGGAATTATGGCATATTGTAACGCTGGGTTGTGTTGAGCAAGCGAGCCGTTGGCATTTAGAGAGCGCTGAGGGTGGGCATCAGGTGAGCAAGCTAGTGGAACGTTACACGCGCAAAAGAGAAGGTCTGCACAAATCCAAAAACTTATTTTAAATGCAAAATCGATTTCCGCATTTTTAATACTTTCTTCTTTGCGAGACAAACATTTTCTCCACAAAACTCAGTTCGTGCGCATGCAAAAAGCACTTTTGCGCGTTCAAAATATGATCTTTCGCACGCAGAATTGTGGCAGAGATGTAATCCCATATTGAATAGAATGTCCTTCCTGAGCTTGATTGCTATTTGTTTTAATGAGTGTTCATATTTTCTAATTAAACTTAATTTAGTGCCACAATTCCTTCAATAACACCATCACATTAATGCTAAAAACAAAATGGTCTTGTGTGTAAGGAAATTCAGAGCCTTTCTGATGTTAAAAATAAAATCAACAAAATATGCATAATTGACTTTTTCTTTCCAAAGTTACAAAATATTAGCAGAAGAATGTTCTATTTGAATCTTTATGATTCTTTAAACTGATACAAAACAATTAATTCCTCTGTGTTTGAATGCTCCACCGTTTTGAGAAACAAACGAGAGAAAAAAGGTGCAAATGATACAAATGAAAGATATCACTCTGGAGTGAGCAAGTGCTTCAGCTGTCCTGTGCAAATAATCACACACAGAAGAAAGGGTTACATTTGCGTTTTTATTTATAAAAAGGCCACTGCCCAAAGTACTTTGTTTTTAAAATAGGCATGTTTAACAAACTGCATTAATCTGTGTACATAAAGCCTATCCGCCAAATATACACCACATGAACTTGTTTGGCCAAAGAGAGAACACTGAAGTTTTTTTAGTACTTGACTTTTGAGAGAGGAAGATGATTTGATCATGAAAAAAGTTACATATTCCTTTTTCACTTCAGCAATGATTGTGATTATGGCAAAGATGCAAACTAAGACCAAAAGAAAAATATTTCTGCCACAATTTTTTTTTTCTTCGTGCAACATAATCGTACTTCGATTGAAATGAACATCTGCAAAATGTTGGAAACATAACGTGCCTTCAGAGCACCTCTCACACGAATCTGTTAATATTTGCACGCTCTAAAAATTGAGTCTAATGCATTTATCTCTTCACCTTATATTCAGTGCAAATATATATCTCAGATTAAGATTACAAAGCTTGATGGTACAGCATATCCACAGAATTCACAAGAAAATACATTTACTCCTAATTCTCTTGAGTGTCATGTATAAATAGTCCAGTATCTATAAACAGTCTACCATTGTCCATTAATGATATACAAGTCCATATCAAGAGTCCTACACACAGAACGTCTACCCACAGTGCTGCAGACTTTAATAGTTTGGAAAAGACAAAAATATCGTTCTTCAGCAGGTGATTCTTTCATTTCCCTACATATCTTCCTTCTCAGGTCTCCTACTAGTTTCGAGAAGGATCAGAAAAAAGGAAAAGGACCTGTCAAAGTACTGGACAAATTCAAAAAGTTTGGATCTTTGACACTGGTGAAGAAACTGAAATGACAAACACGTGATGTGAGTTTCACATTAAGTGTACAGCAAAAGCGAAAGCAACAGAAGAGTGAAATCACATGAGAACAAATAAAAAAAGAGCAGCATATCAACTGTAAACTGGGACATGTTTATGCCACTGTGTTTATATCCTGGGGTCGGTTTACAAGAATTCCCCTCGCAGGCATATTAGCATTCACGTTTTTGGCTCCCGCTAGCCAAACCCCTCCTCACCAAAAATAAATAAAAAATAAAATAAAATAATCCATAATAAATAATTGCATATAACTAAGGCATGTGATGAATACTGAAGTTGAGTATGTACGATATGTCTAAGCCCGTTTCATGTGATCGTTTCTAGCAGACCAGGAAGGCACAATTTCCACACATAATATTTTTTTGATTTCTACATTTGGAAAAAATTAGTTTTAACTGTACAGTTTTAGCAAAAAAACCCCGAATTTGTCTTTTACATCAGCGGCGTAATTATCTCAGCTTCGTCAACACTGATTTAGCAGAAACAACATAAGGTGGTGGTAAGCTCTTGCCAAGACTCCAAACACTGTGAATCTCTTGCAGCCCAGGGGTTAAGTTTTGTAGGCGGTTTTGAGTCCGATTCTTCTCAAGGACTCCATAAAGCTGTTGAGATATGACAGTTCTTAGAGCTCCATTGAAATGCAGATCGACTGAAAATTTGGAGAGAAATGTTTAACAAAGAGCTCAGTGAAATCACAATGAAATCCCTCAGGTTTGCAAGATTTAATGCCATAACCAGTTTGAATCGAGATTCCCATAAAGTCGAATGATTACTGTGCGTGAGAGAATCAGCATGTGTAGAGATGAAGACTCAATGTATGCCTAGAATAGTCACAGGTGAATCGTTCTCTGCGCCCTCAGATTGGCAAGCAAGGCTTGTTCTTTTGTAAGAACGGTTAAGCCACTGTAAAACAAGAACGACTTTCAACAAAATCTACCTAACGAAACCAAAAAACCGGAATCCAAACTTGCTAAGAGTGCATAAACAAATGCAAAATCAAAAGCAATACCATCATTTCATTTTAAAGGCAATAGAGTCTTTCTCGCTTCGTTTGGTTGGGGTTCTAGAAAAAGCTGAAGAGATATGTGGTAGCTTGGAGTGTATAAAGGGGAGTGTAGGCATGTAGAGGTGTGCTGAGGTGCCGCTGTTACCTGCGACCAGTTTCCACATGTCTGATCAGGTGAATGTTGAAGGGGCTGTCTGCTAGCTCAGGGTGTTGTTCAACAGGTAGAGCGTAGAAACCATCATACCCTGAGACACGTCCCTCTGCAACGAGCTCATCCTTTTCTTTTTCAGTCCATGGCAAACTTCCACCCTCCCCCTCCAGGACCCTCTTCTGCTCCCATAGCCACGCCCCCTGCACAGCTCGTATTCGTGCCACCTCTAGCACACGCGTGCGTTCTTCCTCCGGCGTTGCTCCATAACGAATGTTAAAGCTAAGCGACCCCTGCTGGAGCACAATGTCAGCGAATCGCCGCATTTCCCCTCCAACCATAGCACTTATCTGGGATACCGAGACGTTTACGCCGTTCTCTAACACTCGGACTCCACCTCCAGCACCGCCCCCTGCCACTCCCAGATCTGCCTCCAGTGGGCCGGCCTTGGTGAAATAGTGTGCGTCACGTCCCTCCACGGTGAAATGGAGGCCACGCAGGTATATAGCACCATTCAGTACGGCAGCCACACGACGGCTATCCTCGCTCGCCACGCCAATTATCTCAGTCGCCACTACTCCTTCACGGATGGCGAATTTTACACCTTTGCCAAAAATTGAAGAAAGGGCAGAAAAAATTGGTCTGCGGCCCTGGCGACCTCCGATTTTCCCATTGGCTGGCGTCAAGGGGAGGCGATCCAATGAAATTAAGTTTTTTAAGTGCTTCTGAAGGTCACACTGGATGC